CATATAGTCTTACACATAGACATAATTTCAAGTAATTTATTCAGCTTGACTTATATTTATATTAATATGTATGACTTGAAGACTAGAACATATTCTTTGTTGTATTCTACAGGTCTGAAAATTGTTGTTACAACATGTAACTTAGTAGACATTATTTGCTTTCATTTAAATTTCAAATATGATTTATTCCAACAAGGGGAGCCCAGTCATATGTAGATTAGCTTTTGAATATTTGATATGAATGATTGAGAAATAAATAAATGAGGTTGTTAACATGGCGATCACCATTAAAGGCATAAAAAAGATATTTTGGTTTATATTAAAGTTAATTTTGTGTATTCACGTCATTGGTCTGGTAACACAGAGTACACATTTATTGATTACACATTAAAACCATGGCACTTTATTTAAAAGATAGAAAGTAATAAAGTATTTGGATGAAAGTTTTGAAGCATCAGAGGGTTGATTATTTGAATAATGATAATCACTATGTGTGTGTGGATGTGTGCGATAAATTACACGATACATGATCGATAGATATCAATAGATGGGAATATATGAAGCTGGATAACTTGATAGAGACATCACTTTGCTGTGAAAGGTTAGAAAATGTACTGCATGAACCTGCAGTCTGAACATATAGAATGGTCGGTCACACATCAATATCGAGTTATATAAATGTTCTATTAAATAAAATAAAAAAAATCTTCCAGAATGATTATTCTGATCGAGTTAAAGATTTCCTTGGTGACTTTCAACTGTGCGTGTTATACCCTTTGATTTCCAATTTAGCGTGAAGTTTACTGTGACCGTTTCAAAGTAATACAATAGTGGTTTACTGCTTAATGGATTATTGTTATCATTTTATTTTGTCTAATTAAATAAGGAAACACTTTATCTTTTGCGTTCGGCATGGGTTGATTTGATTATTTGATGCAATTAATAATTCCAAGCAAACTAATGGAGGTAAAGAATTATAGCATTTTGAAATGAACTGGTGATAAAATTGTAACTATAGTGCTGAATTTATGGTTTGCTGCTTGATTCTTTATTCTCTATCGATTTTCATTTTTTTGTCAAATTCACGTTGAGTGTAAATCCAATATCAAACACAAAACTCTGCTTTATGAATGGTGATTTATGTTTAGTTAAGACCAATATTTCTACATAAAACGACCATGATGGTGTTTATTATATTTAGTTTAGTATTAGAATCAATGTACACAATAAACAGTTATAATGAATTGAATATGGTTTTAGCTATTTTTGATCAGAGAGAAAAAAAACTGTTTTTATTATTCATTATAGAGAACAATTAATTTTGAGTTTATTTTATGTTTGATTTCAAGTGTTGCAGTGAATGATTGATATACTTTCCGTATGCTATTATAATGTTAACACATAAATCATGCATTTAACTTGTTAGATTTTGTTCGTCAAGGTGAATAAAACACAATACTCATTAACTTTGACCTCACACAATCTCATCATTTCCATATCTAGGTCAGAACAGTTTGATCTAAAGTGATAAATGGAAATTGGAATGCACTGGCTCTGTCAAAAATTACAGGCGAAGTTTCTGTTGATTTTTATTAAAACTTGTAGCTATCTGTGTTTATGTCAAGTTAGAAAGTTAATGGGACAACAAACCAGATGATCCATCAATGTTTTGAAAATAAACAATTATATGATGTCTGTCTATAATTAATATACAAAACTACATGAAGAATAGGCTGTTTGTATGGAAGAATTTTACAATTTTTATCCGATAAATAGAATTCGTAATTAAGTAATTTCTTGACCAACTTTCTGTTTGAATATTGTACCTTTAAACTACTGCACTATAGATAGGCATAATGTCAAGACACATTGTGGATAGTCTCATGATTAACATGAATTTAGGCACAATGGTTTAATTAAACATGACCAGTTCGTAATGTCATGAAGTCTAGACAGAATGTCACGACTACTATGACTAGACGCAGTACCCTTTACCATTATACACTGTCTTTAAGTTCATGTTGATTTCTCATAATGGATGGGACTTCCATTTTAAAGTATACTATCCTTAACATACTTGTTCAAAGTTTAATAATTCTAAAAGTAATAAAGTCTATAAAGCTTACGAAGAGATATTAATTTTGTGTAAAAGAAAAATTTGGTTCCAATTTGTGATAATGGTTTGACTCGAACTGTTTATACATGTATAAAGGAAGCAAGCTGTACCATTACTTAAAATGGAAATTCTATAAGTATCGTCTGAGACTAATTGTCTGTGACTCAAGAGTCTTGAACGCCAGGCCAGGGCAGACAGTAGTTGACATTAAAAAAAAGACATTATAAGTAGGAAGGATTTTAGTAATTCAGATTGTCTGCGATTTTGGGGGGGTTTAGGTTTTTAAGTAGGAGTCGAAATGTCAGTAATAAAATTGTATTTTTAGAATATTTGAAATTTGATTTCTTTGCTTTGATATGTGGTCTTTGTGTTGAAGTGTCTGGCAAGGCCTGGCATGCTAGAAGTTTACATTCTTCAAAATATCAGTTGATTCATCTCAAGTCTGCATTCAGGACTGGTACTTAATATACTCTGATTTCATCTGATTAGAATGTGATTTCGTTTTGAATTGTATATCCCAATATGAACTTTATTCAAAGTCGCTTTGTTAAACAAGAATACTGATTTTGTTACACACAAACCAACAATAGATAGCTAATCTTAAGTTTAATTGAAGAAATTAATTTCAGGAAACTATGTAACATGGTTTTGTCAATCTGCAGGTCATGATAATTGAAATATTAACGAATATCAACCATGTAATAAGCTTTATATTAAAAATAAATCACATGATTAGACAGTGATTCATTCTGTAGACATCTTAATGCAGACAGCATGAAATTTCAAGGGACTCTAATCACAGATTATAGTTTAAATATTGAGAATAAATTTAATGTCATGACGAAATATTGAGCGAATTGATATGATCGTGACTTGATTTCACTTCTCTATTTTTTTTTTGTTTAATTCATTTTATTCAGAAAAAGTTTTCCACCTTATCAATAATTTTCATGGAAACACAATGAAGAGTTTAAACTGAACTAGACTATATTGCTGTGTTGGCTAGTTAGATGATTTTGTATAATTTAATCATATAAGCTGGTGCTATATGTGGATGAGTTTCTAATAATAAGCTTAAGGTTTTTATACGTCCACATTGAAATGTCGTATATTGTCGGCACCCCCGTCGTCTGTCCGGCGTCCAAAATTGCTTGTGGACGCTCTAGAGGCTAAAGTTAATATCCGATTGACTTTAAATTTATACACAGTGTTTAAGGTCATGAGACGAAGAAGCCTATTGATTTTCAGCAATTTCTGATAATTACTGCCAGAGTTCTGGCCCTTGATCACTTCAAAAAATCTTGTGAATGCTCTAGAGGCTAAAGTTAATGTCTGATTGACTTTAAATTTAATTGATACAGTGTTTAAGGTCATGAGACGAAGAAGCCTTTTGATTTTCAGCAATTTCCAATAATTACAGCCAGAGTTAATATGGCCCTTGATCACTTCAAAATATCTTGTGATGCTCTAGAGGCTAAAGTTATCATCTGATTGACTTCAGATTTATACACAGAGTTTAAGGTGTTGAGACCAATTTTGATAACTTGAACAGCTAAATCCATGATATTAAATGTTTCGTATACTAAACGTTAGCATGGGGCAGAACTTTAAAAAACCCCAACAAATTCTAATGATTTTCTAATAATAACTTAATGAGTTGTTACTCTTAATCAGATTTTAGTGTATTATAAATATTTCATTACCGAAAAAAAGTAAAAATATGCGACAACTCTTGTTGACTGCCCGGACGATTTAGCTGCTGTGGGCGTATGTTTCGTTGCCTGATGAAATTGTACCATACATGTACTGACAAATATATAGAATAGGCCTATAGAACTGAGCGAAACACTACAATGGCTTCATGCTGTTATATTATATGTCTGTAAAAGTTAACATTAGGTTCCATTATTCTTATTTTTTTGTAGGAAATAAATTAAAGTGGGGTTTAACGTCCTACTTTTGTACATCAACTCGATTAACACAAACTGGCATCTGCCCTTGAGTGTGATATGTGGGGAAATTTTGTCCATACAAATTTCAACTGTCAAGGTTTCTTTTTACGTGCACGCCATCGTGTACAAGGGAGCTCTGTTGTTTGCCTGAGCTGAATGACTACATGTACACGCTGTTCTTGCAAGGGCCTCCACAATGAAAAATCCAGTAGAACACTGGGAGTAAGCCTCCTGAGACCCCTTGGTTTGCGATCCAGCACATTACACACTAAGCCACTGTGGCTCCTAAAAGTCATGGAACATATGATGCAATTATGACATGTACTGCCCAGTGATGGGATTTCAAATTTTTTCTTGTCGGACATTTTACCAAAAATAAAGGGGCATAACTCTTATCGTTATTTAAGCAGACAAATTCGTACCACAATTAAAAGTCACATGTCAAAATATTCAAATCCTGTACGTAATAAAAATAGGTGAACCTCGCTATTTTTCATATTTAATTCCCGTACAGTATTCAATTCATACCACAATTAAAAATCACATGTCAACAAAATATTCAAATCCCGTACCTAATAAAAATTGGTGACCTCGCTATTTTTCACACTTAATTCCCGTACGGCATTCAAATTTATGTCAGTAGATGTCCTACAAAATTAAGCATTTTCGTAATATGTTGAATGAAAGCTTGCCGATCCTGCTTTGGCATCAAATTCACAACCATAATATTCCTTTAGAATTACGTGTCTTCGAATATACCGCAGCAAATGAATGCAGAACTTCCGAAATAGTACTACTGCCAATGAAATTCTTTGTTTTCAAAATTTTAATATTTAATTTTCTTTTATTTTTGTGTCCAATGTTGAGAATGTTATAATAAAAGGTTGTTATTGATTTTATCATATTGATTTTCTTTTCTTTTTTCTTTCCAGCTGATTGCAGTTTTACTTTCTCCAACAAAACCGGTGAAATCAAAGCTCTTTCTATGGAACTAGAGAAAAAAGGACATTTAAGAAGTTGTCGTTATGAAATAGATGCTCCAGAAAAATATCAAATTAGATTAAACTTTACACAAATCTCTGGGTTTATTGTTTCTAATAATACCCATAATTCCTGTCTGCCAGAAGTGGAGATTAAAGATATGATGCACGGTCATGAAGTGAAATCAGAAACAGTTTGTTGGCAGAAAAATAATTCATATGCCCCACAAGTCTTTCGTTCAAACTCAAATTCGTTAAGAATAATATTTACATGGAAGAAAGGACATAAGAGTGGCTTTCACATATTTTATCATTTTTTTCCTGAAAATAGTAAGTAATATATATTTAATATATTTCACTCACAACAAGAGATCTTTGTAAAATAGGAAAATCTGGTCATTTAGTATTTCTTGAAATGTGGGACATTTCATCCTGTTGATGGCTTGTTTCTGGAACTTTTACCAAAAACCATTGATAATAAACCTAGCACACTTGCCAGACTTAAAGATTAGACCTAGATGTTGTGAGTTTGCAGCATTTGTTAATTTTTTTCTGCCTTTCAACGAAAGCAGGGGACTATTAAAGATGAGTAATCTGTCTGTATCTTTATCCATCAGTATGTCTGTCCGTATCATTACAAGTGTTTAAGAGAGAGAGAGAGAAATGGAATTTAACGTCCACTCGACACAAACTAGGTCATTTCAGGACTAAAACGTGGTTCAATTTAATTTGCGCATAGGGGTCTTTAGCAGTGGAAGGAAACTGGAGGACCCGGAGAAAACCCACGAGGTTGGACAGGCGACCCTACTCCTTGTCATGTACAACCAGGGATTCGAAACCACGCCAGTTGACTCAATGACAGACCTTATGATACAACATGCACGTGCTAACCATTCGTCCCCCCCCCCCCCCAATTATAAATGTATAACACTGCTTTTAATTGAGATGGAATGTTCATTCAAATTGGTATAGGTGTTTATTAGATTAATGTCTTGACTGAGTTCGATCATGAGGATTTTGTGCTTAGGCTAAGCAGAGATAAGCAATTTAAGTGGTTGAGAGTTTGAAATTTCTGCTTACTCTAAAAAAAAGAATAAGCAATTTGATTTGTCGATGCTTTGGAATACATGAGAGTCATAAACTTGGGGTATAATTTCATTACTTGACTTTCTGCTTTTAATTACGATAATATCAGCCTCTTTGTTGGTTGGTTTATCCAGTCGTTAAAGCATTTTTTACTCAAACTGATTATATACTTGTTGGTGATCTGCTTTTGAACTGTGTCAGTTTACGGACTGTGTTAAAATAGATTACTTTGATTGGATAGAGAAAAAAGGTGTGATATGTCATATGTCTAGACACTACATCCTGATCTGTGTTATTCTACCTTGATAGATTCCACTTAATAATGATTATATATTCTTTTAATATCACTACATCAACCAGTTGAGTCAATTTTGTACATTATCCCCAGAATGAATTAGCACCTTTTTGTGTTTCTAATTGACTCAATGCGCTAATTGTGAACATTACATGGATTAGGTTACATAGGTCCAAACTATAAACCTAAATGTGATACTTTGACCCTTTTAAACTTTTATAACCTCCACACCTGCTCTTGTCACAATTATTTTTGAATAGTCCAGTGGTATTATTGCTTGATGAAGACTCTAGAGAATCTTCTGTTGGTTTATATTTAAATTAATATCCAAAGATAATGGTCGATTTGCTCTGGTTAAAAAGTAGGATCTTGTTCTGAAGGTATGGGTAGAGATTCCATTGCGAATGCAGTGATTCCTTAATCCCTGGTGTGCTGCTTCTCACAAGATATCACAGATGTGAAAATGTTAACAGTGCATTCGTATGTACATTAAAAGTGACATATATTTGCGGTGCTACCAAAATGGACTTATCCATTTGATGTTGTTGCACACTAACGGTAATCTGAAACTGTTTTGTGCTTGTAATTTGCTTTGTGTAATATCAATGTGAACAAAGATTTAGTCGAAATATTGCCAAGTTTTTCTAGTTCAGTTACTAAACGCCATCTAGTGCAACTCATGGCAACTTGTATAATGACATTATTAATGTATGTTTAAAATACTTAAGGTTACACAATAAAACTTATGATAGAATACCAGTAAATATACAAAAGTCCTGAAATGTCATTCTGAAATATCAATGTACTACATATATTTATTAATTTATTTGTATTTAAAAATAGGTTAGACAAATGAGGTACTATTATGATAGCGATTGGAATATCAAATATACTGTAATAGGAGAACCACACTAAATCTGAAATGTCATTCTGAAATATCAATGTCCTACATATTATTGTCCCCTGCCTTTCGAAAAAAAAAAAAAAAAGCGGGGGACTATTAATATGGGTCTGTCACATTTTTTGGGACTAAATAACTCTCCTTCTAATTGGGCTAAAGTGTTCAAACTTGGTGTAGGTGTGTAAATACCTTGATGGAGTTTGAAGATGGCCATTTTCTGCTTAGGGTAAGCAGAGATTAGCAATTTGATTGGTTGATGCTTTAGGACTCGATAACTTTAGTTCTGATTAAGTGAGAGTGATGAAACTTTGTGTATAGTTTCGTTATATCAATACTTTGGCTAAGTTTGAAAATTAGCATTTTCTGCTCAGGGTAAGCGGAGCGATAAGCAATTTGATTGGTCGAGACTTTGGAACACATTAACTATGATTCTAATTAAGTGAGATTTGTCCTGTAATGTTTGTAAAACTATAATTTGTTTGCCTTTAAATATAAACAATGAATTGACGCATTAAAATTCACTATTTATGGATAAACAGAACACTGTAGGTGATAATAAACTAGGCTAGAATGTGACAAGTATACAAAGTCCATCTGTGAAACAGGAAGTTATAAAACATATCATATCATTCAAACCAAGGAATTGGAGCTGCAACATTATTTTCTTTAACCAAAGACCACATACATACTATATAAGGCACTTGTCATTGGTAATAAAATTCACAGAAGACATAAATGTCTTTAAATTCTTAAAATATTTTATTTACATGACTAGGACTCGGTGACCAACGATCCCAAAACTGTTGACATGAGCCTCAATCATCAGGTACCTACTGATTGACACTGGCTTTACTAGGGCTGTGTCGATATATCGATACGCCAATATGTATAGATACCTTCCCGCGATATTTATATTGATACGTAATAGAGCTGTATCATTTTAAAAATATGTTCTTCATTTAAGAAAGACCACAAAACTTATTAATAGGTTCTAAATAACTGTTGAATTATTAATTTGTTTGCTTCGCAAAATCTGGCTTTAACCAGGACACTCTATCATATAAACACAGTTTCAAAAGGAAACAAGGACACTAATAATTTAAATGGTTTGATAAAAATAGAGAAAATAATAAAAGTATTTATGTATCACAATGCCATGTGCCGATGGGATCAAAGTTAAATAACATATCTTATTTTGTATTAAAGAATCCAACGGTATGCTTTTAAAGGACATTATTGGTGTCAGTCATTATCACATATGTCATAGAACTAATTAAACACGTTCCAAATATAATTAATGTCATTAGATAAGAGAACACGAGAAAAATAGAAACAGTAACAGTCCGTACATTCCCTTGTTTATTTTCATTCTATACCTTATAAAAACATGGTAATGCACGGACTTTTTCTGTTTTTCTTTCGGGTTCTCTTATCTAGTGGCAATCAATTCTTTCTATGAATTGTCAGGTATCCTCTTACAGTCCCATATAACAACTTTTGGTCTTCGAAGGAATTATTAATGAGCAGAAATTTGGCAGTGTATCTGTTATCACTCGTCACATCAGTCAGTTATTTAGAGATATGACTTGTGTTTTCCTTTGGAGTTCGTCACTTCCGATTCAGGAAACCTGTATTACTCAGCTATCGTAGCAATGATCTCTTTGTTAAAATTATATTTGGAATGTGTTTAACCAGCTCTATCACATATGTGATAATGATTGGCACCAATTTTATCCTTTTAATAATTATGTCAGAACAAATTATCAAATCTACCTGATTAGAAGATGTCACTTCGTCACCGGTCAAAGTAGGGAAAGATGAAGAAATGAAATGCCAAGAATGAATGAATTAACAAACCTTAACTTAAAAGCATATCACTAATAGTAATAGTTTAGACCTACATGTATTAATATGATCAAGTTTGCCGATGCCCACCTATTGTGCAATAGATATTGTAAATCTATAAAAATTTATTAAATGTGAATATCAGTGTCTTGTAACTACTCCTTATTACCTACGAAACGATTGAGCTGCTTTGGGCATACATTTCCTTACCTGGCAACCTATCTGTTTAGGTAGAAAACCATCTAGTATGTCATTTTTATTACATGAACACTTGATACTTAGACAACGGCACAATTTAATGTATTTTTATTTTGCGGTAGCACTAGTTGTATGCTGTGTTGAATTTCGACCACTGGCCGTATGATTGAGATTATGATTTATTAAATGTTGATTACAGTATAAATCCCTAAATTAGTCGGTGCCAGTAGAATGGTTCATCATAGCTAACGGTGATAGCTTCTGTCTTTGTCAATGTTACATGACACTATCCCGGCTTTTTCTATTTATGTAGTTGAAAATATAACCGCCTATTATGGCCTCTTAGCGTGGAGCCTTGTATTATGTCTAAATATTCACACACTGCTATTAAGATTAAATGGCCGGGTGACTCACAATTTGAATAATATTTTAAAGTATCGACAAAATGGCTGTGTATCGGTCAATACTGATTTCTACAGATAGGTCACTTACCGCCTTATTACCGATGTTGAAACCAGTGTTGCCATTCCAAAATATTTCCAGTAGGACATTTTTACTGAAAATAAAGGGGCATAACTCTTATCGTTAAGCAGACGAATTCAGACCACAATTAAAAATCATGTGTCGACAAAATATTCAAATTCGTACATAATAAAAAATAGGTGCACCTCATTATTTTTTGTCCCCCGCCTTTCGAAGAAAGCAGGGGACTATTAAAATGGGTTCGTCCGTCTGTCTGTCCGTCACACTTTTTGGGACACAATAACTCTCTTCCTAATTGAGCTAGAATGTTCAAACTTGGTGTATGTGTTTATTAGGTCAATGCCTTGATGGAGTTCGAAGATGAGCATTTTCCGCTTAGGGTAAGCAGAGATAAGCAATTTGATTGGTTGATGCTTTGGGACACGATAACTGAGTAAATGTTCATGCTTATTGTCCCCCGCCTTTCGAAGAAAGCAGGGAACTATTAAAATGGGTTCGTCCGTCTGTCTGTTTGTCTGTCCGTTCCGCTTAGGGTAAGCAGAGATAAACAATTTGATTGGTTGATGCTTTGGGACACTATAACTTTAGTTCTAATTAAGTAGATAAACAATTTGATTGGTTGATGCTTTGGGACACTATAACTTTAGTTCTAATTAAGTGAGAGTGATGAAACTTGGTGTATAGTTTCATTACAGTAATACCTTGACTAAGATCGATAATGAGCATTTTCTGCTCAGATTAAGCAGAGCGATAAGCAATTTGATTTGCTGAGACTTTGGAACACAATAACTCTCTAATTATTTTCCTATTTCGGCGGGGGACATCAGCCTCACTGTTGGCTTGTCATATTTATTTCCCGTGTGGTATTCAAATTTATGTCAGTAATATTCCTACTTGTTGTCGTAGTATGATAGAATTTAAGGGTGCTGAATACTGCCAACCCGTACCTGTTTCAAATTCACACACCTAAAAAAATAGTGCACCTTGTTATTTTCATATTTAGTTCCTGTGCTGTATTCAATTTATATGTCAGTAATATTCCTTTAAAATTACATGTTGTCATAATACTATACTCTATAGAATGAAAGCGTGCCGACTACGGTCACCTTGTACCTGTTTCAAATTACTTTGACAGTAGACTTTTGCACGCACTATCGTCTAAAACAATTAACTACTCACACTATTCCAATCAAAATATTTGTTGACATTTCATTATTTCAAAACCTAAACCCCATTCAAAATACTATTATAGATCCGAGAAAATGCCATCAAAATAGAATCCTTGCTCTGACATCAGTCTTCTCAAAATTGTCAAGTTTCCATCACTTAATTTCATGCGTCTCGTGAGATTTCTACTTTCGTTTCAGTTATTGTATTATTATAACCATGTGCTTGCACTGTGAAGTATTTATCAGATGTGAGTGTGAAATAGCTTTATTTAACATCCGCTTATGCTGAAGTGATATCGCAGACAAGTTATCGGATATATTGATTTGGGGTGTTACATGTATATACTATTAGGATATGTGACATATATGACTTAAGAGATTAAAATGTCCGACAGTGGAGAAACCATGGATTAATCACGTAGATAAAGTTTATAATCACTCTTAAAAGATTGATACATTGTCCGACAAAGGAGAAGCAATGACTTCTGTTCAGGATTGGATTGATGAATTGTCCGACGAAGGATTAATTCAGCCAATCAAGGCAGATTAAGTAGTTGATTATGGTAGGTGTATAGGCAGTATAACACCATAAATACGCTGATAAACTTAATTACCTAATCAATCCAGCCTATTATCAATGATAATCGGGTTGATTGGTAGATATTTCACTCATTACACTATATTAATTTTGGAATTTGGAATATAATTCACCATATCTTGATGTCCAATTGAGCATATTCCAGGTCGGACGCTTTCGGACATTTGTAAAATAGCATAGGACATGTACGGAATATACAGACATTTTTTGTTGTGGTTAATAGAGTCCAGAATTAGGTAGCAAGAAGTCGTTTTTGAGCTTCACAAAATAGTGTCAATAAGCATCCATTCCCTCTAATAGAGGTCTACTACACATAATTTTATGTCATATAGCATGTGTTATGAATACAAAAAAATATGTGCACCTCGCTATCTTTCATATTTAATTCTCGTACGGTATTCAAATTTATGTCAATGATATTAGTGCAAAATTGTGTGTTTTCGTCATACGATAGAATGAAAGTGTACCGACCCGTACCTGTTTCAAATCCACGGCACTAATATTCCTCCAAAATTATGTGTCTTCGTTTATACGGCAGAAAATGAAAGATAATTGCCCATGATATGAATAGTTTGTTATGTCGAAACATCGTATATCTTTTTCATAAAACAGTATATTAAAATTACATCGGCGTAGCATCGAAACCCAGCGCTCACGCTGTCGATCGCCATTTCCGGAAATTGCGATAAAAATATATTTTTTGCGATAAAATATTGTGTCTGGCGAAATTTTTGGCGATAACTTTTTCCTGTATGGCGATTCTTTTTTGACCGTGGCGATAAATTTTTCTTGCCACAAAGCTTTGATTTCCACGACGTGCATACACACGGTCGTTACAGTCTATTGCACTTGGCCGAGTCAGTTATCAATCAATTGGGTACCAATAATAGATATATCTTTTGTCTATTAATCAATCTTGGATTAGTGTTGATTACTATTTACAGTAAGAGTAGGAATAAACTAATTAAGAGACAAAAGATTTAATTATTTGTCTTCAATTACGAATCGGTGACTTCATGACGGTTTCTATATATTCAAAATGGCGGACACTGAATAATACTCATTTCGTTCAGGAATATTGGATTATGACGTCTGTTTTATCTTTTTCTTACTCCTGTTGCCCGTATCGTTAATAAATGAAGCCAGGTTTGTTGTTCCAAGTTTATAAATGCGTATAATATATTCTTTGGGTTGTCGAAAGTCAGTTATCATCAAATCACGTGTCATGGGTCACAGCGAAAAATTGAACATCCTTCGTCAACGTCCGATAGAAGAATGTCAGATTTTATTTAGTATGTCACCACCAAAATGCTCCAAGTCTACAGATGATACTGACATGATCAGCTCTCGTCCATCTAATATTATTACATCCTTGAATGTTGAAGCAATATCAGCTTCTGCAATAGGTCTGCATTTTAGTTTACCTCAAAAGTTCGCGACAGAGAAAAATTTCTAAAATCATAAAATCTTAAAGTGGTTACCCCAGATGTTGAAATAGTTTTTAAAAAAAAAGGCTTCTGCAAAGCAGAGAGGCATTTTGTAAATTATAATATCATATGTATATTGTATATATTACTGAAAAAATATAATAGATACTTTGGGTGGGGGGGGCGGAAAAAATATATGGCTAATAAATTAAAATGAGAAATTGGCAGAAAAAAAAAAGAAACCCAGAGTGAGCACTGTCGACACCCATATACGGGTGTGGTTGTTGTGCTTGGTGTTTAACGTCCTCTTCGCAGACAAGTTGTCATATTTTCATTTTTATTATCTTAACCCACGCTCAAGGGTCTTTCATGTGGGAGGAAACCAGAGTACCCTAAGTGCCCCTATCTCCAAGCCACATACGCTCACTCATGGGTTCGAAACCACGACAGCAAGCCAGAGCTCGAAGCGCGACACTCTAGACCATCCCAACCCCCTACAGGTATGATCTCCATGTTATTGTTTTTGCCCACATGACTCGTTTTTTCCCGCCAAAAGAACAAAAGTGCCATTTTACATGTAGCTCCGAAGCAGTTTGTTGAACAGAAAAATTAAACTGATGTGTATTAACTTGGATTGAAGAAATAAGAGTTGGATATTTTTCAGATTGAGGGGCTAGTGGATTTTTACAACCCTAATTTGTGCATACCAGACTATAACTTCATGGATTATGGCTCCTCTAGAGGTCACAATTTTTATACGCCCACATAGAAATGTGGTCATATATTGTCATCTCACCCTTGATCCCTTTAAAAAATCTTGTGGAAGCTCTAGAGGCTAAAGTTAATATCCGATTGACTTTAAATTTATACACAGTGTTTAAGGTCATGAGATGAAGAATCCTAGTGATTTTCAAAGATGTCTGATAATTAATGCCATTGTTATGGCCCTTGATCACTTTGAAAAATCTTGTGGACGCTCTAAAGGCTAAAGTTAATATCCGATTGGCTTTAAATTTATACACAGTGTTTAAGGTCATGAGACGAAGAAGCCTATTGATTTGCACTGATTTCTGATAATTAATGCCAGAGTTATTGCCCTTGATTGCTTTGAAAAATCTTGTGGATGCTTTAGAGTCCATAGTTATCATCTGATTGATTTTATATTGATACACTGTGTTTACGCCTATATATAATCGTTTCGATTGACATTGATACACAGAGTTTAAGGCCTTGAGACAAACAAGTATATTGATTTTCAATGATTTTGATAACTCGAACAACTAAATCCATGATATTAAATGTTTTGTATACTAAACGTTAGCATGGGCCGAACAAGTTCTAATGATTTTCTGATAATTACTTAAATGAGTTATTACTCTTATTCAGATTTTAGTGTGTTATAAATGTTTTCATAAAAGCATAACAATATGCAACAACTCCTGTTGACTGCCCGGACGATTTAGCTGCTGTGGGCATATGTTTCATTGCCTGGCAAGCTATCTTTATTTGATTTGATTAAAAAAAATTTTTTTTTACATATGTCACCATTGCATGGTAATTACAGTTTAGTTCAAATTTCATGAAAATCGGACCACTTCCTTCAAAATAGCCGCACCCCTTTTTGCAAATAGTGTTAAAGCATGTCAAAGATCTTGGTTCCTTTTGATATTGGAGCTAAACAGTAGGATGTTAAACCCCATTTCATTTCATTTCCTTTTGATATTGACACGTCGGACCATAACATCCTGGGTTATGTTATGGTCTTATTGTACGAAAATCGCTTTTTTAGCTTGTTCTCTGTCCATCTCTTGCAAAATGTGGGTGTATCTTACATGGCAACTGCTTGTTCTTATTCTGTTTATTCTTTTAGATTGTGACTCGGGTTCCAGTTCGGACATAAAGTGTTCTAGCCAGGGACATACTTCCTCCACAGGTAATTTGTGATTTAAATAGTTGGAATATATTGATGTATTTCTTTATAGCTAATTCATGTAATATTTGGTTTACAAGATGGTGAAGAATTGAATTTAAAAAAAAATTCATATTTACCACCAAAGATGTTTCCATTGATTAATTTGGTGAATTTAGCCAGAGGGAGTATATTTTGTTCTCCTGCATTCATCAAAATAACATCAAACAAATGTGTGAAACATTGCCGTTGTTTTGGCCTTACTCAACTCTTTGGCTAATATGCATCTAAATGAACAGAAATCTTGTCGCAGAGCTTCTGATTGTATAAAATTTTAGGTTAATCCCCCAGACCTCGCTTCAAACTCAACGTTCTCTCCATCTTGGGGCCCCCCTCAAATTCCTGAACAAGCCCCTGTAGTTGTGGGATTTACCATTCAGATTTAACACATTTTAGAGATGTTGGTCATTTTGTAAATGTGCTCAACATCTGATTTCTGCAGACTCCATTGGTGGAAAAAAGGCAATAAACAATCTGATTAGTAAATTATTATTGGAAAACTAGAAATTTCCATTGATGCGAGGCCAGTGTAACATTGTGTATGCTTTAGTTGCCTGTCAATCCATCGAAATAGTAATAACATTTTACATACAAAGTGTACCTTTTTTTAGCTGGTTTTTGCTCATTCTAGGAGTAGAGTGTCTTTTACCAGAGGATACTACAGTGCTATTGTTTCTCTATAAAAGTACTACTTGAGTGTGTTAGTTATGTGAGCTATGATGTTCTCAGATGAGAAGGGTTGTTCTTTCATGTTTTCTTTTTTTCTTGTGTTTCCAATATCTATTATTTGAGATGCATTGGAAAGTTTTTAGAATCTGCCTAATAGTTACTCACATTAATATGTGCCTTTAAATCCAGTATGAATACTTTTTTGTGTCAGTATTGAATTAAGCCACACCATTGGGTTTTGTGAAAGTGTAGATGCTACAGATGGTGTAGTGTATCAATTAATGAAGAACCTGACATAGTTGTCCAATTTGATTCATAAAAAAAAATGGGCCGTCTGGAACTGGAAGTGGTTTTATTCCATAGCAACACAACTTTTACTTTTTAATGAAGTACAAACTGACTTGTGAGTCATTTGAATCCAGACATAAAAAAAATGCATTTTATTCTTCACATTTTTTTTTGCCACAATAGCGTCACATGGGACATAAGGCTTATCATCCTCTCTAACAGACTAGACTTGTTGTCTTTGATGGTTTGTCCCTATAGATATTGAATTGTACAGTGTAAAAGATTGTAGCCCATCCATTTCTTTCTGTAAGCTTTGTCTATCAAGATAAAACATGTTAGGAATAATCTATTTTAATGTGATAACAAGTGAAGTTGGAAGACTCAACATGTATGTATTGCATGTAATGGATAAAATGCATAGGTGCTTGGAAAGTATTTTCATATTAATGGAACCTATATATATATATGGCCCCAGTGAAATCTTTGGAGTATAGAAATTAAATACTCTCTGCATATGGTGGTTTGACATGTGCTAATGTTAATTTTCAAATGTCATCCATCACTCCTGTCCAGGTAAAATTCTTCTCTTCTCTTTGACCTGTGCTGGCAAATGAGTCGGAATGTGCAAAATCTTATAATGAGCTACAGACAAAACAAGTGAAAATGTTGATTGTGATCGAAATTGATATTTTGACAAAAAAGAGTCTATAAATATACTATCTATCGACCCAATAAGATCAAAATAGCAATAACATATTTTAAAAAACCTTTATTTGGATGTTTCGTAAGAGTACCGTATTCAGAAATCTTTTTGTTTTTTCGTAAAGATACATTGTCCAGAATATACTTATAGAGTGAATATTTCCAATAAAAGTATGACAAATTTGTTATATATGGGCAAAAATGTCAGGGTATCACTAACTGGCAACCCGACTGTTGCCTGCCAGCTGATTGTGTGCTAGCTTGACTGAGGGAGCGGTTGTTTCTTGATCAAATGGTTAGGCTGTTTTGGGAACATTGAGGGGTGCCAATATACAAAAAACTCTGCAATTAGATGGCCGAAAAATTAGTTGACAGAAAATAATTAAGAATTGACTTGTGCCTCAATATGTATGATAAATGGACAGTCAGTAATGAAAAATGAACTCCACCTCAATAAATTGAGCTGATAGACTTGGTGTCTAACAACAGTTTATTTATAACTTGCAGTATCTCCTGACGAATACAAAGTTTTGAGAGGGATTTGAAGCACATTTTTGATAGATTTTGGCATCTTTGTGAAGCGATGAATCTCTAGTTTATAAATATGACCAAAGTATTACCAAAGATTTAATTTTCAATGAAAACAGACAGGTTTTTAAACCTGTACATTATATTATGTAAACAAACCCCCGCTTGTTGCTATAAAGCCAATGCAACTCGTTTGCTGATTGGTCCAGACACCCCGTGTGGTGCATTGTGGTATCATGTCTGCCTTCAGGCTCAAGCTGATGCTAAAAATTTGATTTGGGCAATAATGTTTTGGGTACAAGTGGCGGAAAAAACTCTTAAAATTATCATCGTATATAGATTGCCGTTTAAGAGTTCATCAAAACCATTAGCTGTAAATCCGGATCGTGTCATTGAGTAATACTAATGAGTTGTCACAGATTAATGATTAGTTGATTGATATTTAACAATGATATAAGGCCATCATCCCCTCATCATTATTTACTCTGAATAAAAATATAAAGAATATAAGATTTCACTATTTCTCATTAGAAGAAAATTTTTCTCAAAATATAAAATTAACCATAAATTGCTACACCCAATAATAATTTCTATCCTAATAGATCTGGATGTTAATAAGAAAATCATGCAGTCATTTTATGACCCCAGCTTGCTGCTCTCTTTCATTTGGTATTTGAAAGTCAGGGGCGCCCAAACATATTTTCTAAGGTGGTGGGGGGGGGGGGGCATCAAAAAATCAGCCCACTCAGCATTAGAAAATCATATTGGCCCACCATGTCAATAAAATGCTGCCCCCTCTTGAAGTGAAATTCGACACACAAAGGAAAATTTGCCCGCATAATCTCAAAATTCGTATTTCTGAAATAAAGTACAAAAAGACAGGCAGTGTTCATCATTTACATGTAATGTAAGATGTTCACTTTCTACTTACCAGTATATACTGGGCAATGTAGCTACGGTATGCAGGAGTTTCCTCATGAGCATGGAATAATTTCACCCAATACTTGACAATACAAACTTTTGGGTTCATTGAATCTGCAAGAGACTCTGGCAAACTGGTCCATTTTCCCCAAAAAATCAGCCCACTCTGTACTAAGCTGAGACCATTAATACCACCAGTGCTACTGGTGGGACATTTTTATCCGCATAACACTGGCAGAACACTAGTAGCCCGTTCAGACGCTTATTTTTAAACCAGTTCATAATCGCTGTTTTTTTTAAGACAGCGTCGTGTTGCGTTCACACGTACTATAAGCCAAACCAGTTTAACTATTCTGACCTCTTCGGTCGGAGGTTAGAGTTAACTACGCATGGGTAGCTTCATATTCTTTATTCGGTTCTCGCACGCTTTCGATAACATTGGTACTGTCTGACCCCGATATTTTCACGGAAATGTAAATTACTGCGTACTGTGTATGCTCAAAGCAAGCTGGAGCTGGGGGTTTTAAGCCAACCCATTCAGACGGCTAAGATGAACCAGTTCAAAATAAAAAGCCTTCTCGAAGACAAGTCGCGAGCTGGGTTTTTTAAACTGGTTTATTTGCCCCACATTTGCTTCAGACACTTAAGTTAAACTGGTTTAGCGATCCCCAGGGTTTTTAAACCAGTTCAACTTAAGCGTCTGAACGGGCTATAGTTCATTGACCAGAGATAAGTTATTTACTGTGAGTGCAGTTATATACAAAAAAATCATGAAATGTGATAAAAACATAAACATTATAAAAATATCATGAAATTTGATAAAAATATAAGAACCATAAAATTCCACTAGAAGCTTTCATGAAAATATAATTTTTGACCAAAATCTGTGTACAGTCCCTGATACAGATCAAATTAGATGTTTAGTTTTCCATAGAGTAGAGGCGTGTACACACACAACTACATAAATTAATGTTTTCCTTGTCTTGTATTTCCTTGTTTGCGATATCATCCTCAGTGGAAGCATTGTTATTCATTGTTATATCTGATCTGATGTTTTGAATCAAGAAATGTGTAGGATTTGAAATGTGGTCACAGGTATTCTATGTGTTTTATGTTTGTTGGGTGCAGTACTATCTATATTGCTGTTTTTTATGAGGAAAACTTTTACATTCATTTGTATTCATTGAAACATGTGCCACCTTTGATTCGTCTAAAAGTGCGACTTGGATACAATATTTTTTCCGGGATGTTGAGCCATAAAAACGTCCCAGAAATAGATTTATTTGAAATTTAACTCGTCTAGAGACTAATGCCCCACAAACAAGATAATAGCCTCTAAGGAGGTGGTATTCATGATCATAGTTTTTCATTAAGCTGTTAAATTTTAACAAATGTCTAGACCAGATACTAGATAATTTTCTAAAGCAGGAAATTACATTTTTTGTCCCAATCCATAGGGGATACAATTGTCTCCCGTGGAATGTTGTTGGATATTTTTTTCTTGTAAATTATTCATATAAAAATAAAGTCTTATGGATTGTTATGATCTCAGGGTTTTTAGTTGGTTTAGAATTTTAATGTATTTATGATTATTTCACTGTGTTTAAATATTCAGTATACAGGTCACAATTCTATGGAATACAATTACTGCTTTTTACTGAGCGACGTTTCGACTAGGCTTCTCTAGTCATTATCAAGCTATGATAAAAAATGAAAATATGACAGGACAATATATACATGTACACCACAATGCTAAGTTAATGATGACAAACCAGGGATGTAACTTAATTACGTGTACCTAATGGTAATCTGATTTAATTGTACGCTAATAAGTAATAATACCAATTAACCTAAAA